TTTTTGTCCTATTTCTGTTAGGATTTTAAACTAGCATTTAATGAGTTATGACAGAAAGCAGCTTATGCACTTTAACGTTAGGTATAGCTGACCTTAGTTCATAAGGCTCAAAGGCCATCTGGGATCTGAACTTCACCAATGTCACACTCTGGGTAGTCACACATTGGGTAGCTGCATGCCAGGACATGTGGCCGAGAAATATGTGACCTAGAAATGTGACCAATACATTCTGATCTTCCCACACAGATATGTTGTATCTTGAATTTTCCAAAATAACAAGAAATTCAAAACAAAAAAGTGAAGACTGGCGGTATACTCAGTTTTTGCTTAAAAGATTACAACAATCTTTTTTAGGTTTAGTTAACATTTTACACTAAATTCTATGAGCTAGACATCCTATTTTCTAATGTCTTCAATAAATCCTATAAAATAGATATTGTATTTCCTATCAGTGACCAATTTAACAAGACTCATACTCTTTGTGATAAAAAAAAAAAAGGCCAAAACCAAATATTAGAAAAGATCTACCCTTACAAAAAAATTTTGTAGGTAATAACACAACTGAGCAAACCCTCCTTCAATAGATATCCACTGGCATTTACTCAAATTTATCTAATTTATCAAATAGTATTATGGTTGACAAGCTTTTATAAATATGAAAACATATCTTAAAGCAAACAATTTGCTTTTAGACATCATGTGTTTATTTCGATTGGCACACACTTTTCCTCTTTTTTGTTTACATTGTTTGGCTGAGTAGTTATTTACTCTCATCGATACTGCAAGTGGCAGAATATAAGATTTACATTACAGCAAAATAATAATTTCATGTAATTAAGAACTCGTTTTACAAATGACAAAATAGAAAATTTGTTAGGAATACAAAGATAACTTACCAAGATCCTGCCCCTGAAGTGTTCAGAAGTAATTGGGGAATAGACTAGGCCTAAGGCTAAACAACATACAGAAGCCAAGTGCAAATACGCTCTAACATATGCCAAATGTCCCTGTTTGGAGGAGGAGGAGGTGCCCTGGAGGAGAAGAGTAAGCACAGAGGGAAGTCAGGTCTGAAAGAAAGTTTTTATTCTGCAGGCAATGGAGAAGTCCAGGAGAGTTTATGAGTAACGCAGCAGCAGCATGATACCTATGGTGGGAAGAACACATAGAGAAAAAGACCAGAAGCAAGGAAGCCCACTGGAAATAGGCTGCCAGAGGCAGAGAAGGGCTTGAACTATGAACCTAAGAGTGAGAAACAGAGATTAAAAAAAATAAAAATCAGCGCTTTCTGAACATACTTTTATACCTCTGCGGCTTCCATTAAAGTAGCTGCTAATACAAGATACACCGAGAGAGGAGCACAAAACCCATGTTGAAATACCAGGTTCATTTATTCAAGAAAATGGGCTTGGTGACATCTGAGATTCTGAGCCAATTCTAAGGAAAACAGCCAAAGCAGTGCAAAATCAAAAGTCCTGCAATGCCAGAATTTCTCAACCCGGGAAGTCATAGGGCAAGTTCAAAGAAAGTGAAAAGATTAAGGATAAAGCATCTGAAATAGCTAGTTGTTGGTAACAATTGCAAAATAGCCTTCAGACTCATTTTCACTCAAGCCTGTAATACTGAAACCAAGCTAAAGAAGGAGATAAAGGTGTAGGGTTTTGTAAGCTTGTGGGAATGGGTGGAGCAGAGAAAGGATAGTATGGTATAATTAAGGAGAATAAAGCCTGAAGTTTTGGAGTGTAATGATTTAGGAACAATGTATGAAAATTTTACTTTTATAAGAGGACTTTAAAAAGTTCATAGAAAAAGAGAATTAAGTATAAGCTTACTTTGGTGCAAAAATAGAAAAGGTGAAATCAGTGCAGTTTTTTCATAATAAACATTGTCCAGGAACTTTTTAAAGATTCCCCCATGTAACCTAACCCCTTATAAAATCCTAACAAAATAATATTTAGTAAGTATGAGTAATATACTATAGTCTGGGCTGTTTTCAAGCCTAGGCCTAATGAAACTGTCTTTAAAAGGATAATGAATTACAGCATTCTCAAAGATATAATAATTTTCTTTTGTAATAATTAGCCATACATAATTGAAAGAAGACTTTCAGTATTACTCATTTCATTATAATAAGGTTTTCCATTTAGGATTATTATTCTAATACTATAGCCTAAAAACTAAACCTAGAAGACTCAAACCACACAATCCCTGACCCAATTTCCTTTAGGTCATGAAGAGACTAGGTCCTCTCTTTTTTAAGGTCTAATTCACTGCTCTTAATTAGAACAGCACAATAGTGATTTAAATTATACATATTAGACACCCAGTAACAATCGTAACTAATCACGTGCAAGCTAGGTCTCCTACCTAAATCTCACAGCCTATATGTTCTAAAAGGACAATACATTCCTTAAAAAAACTGCAGTATAATAAACTATTTTAAATGTGCTTTTGAGACTTCATGCCTCAAGGGAAAATAAAAGCATTTGATAAGAAAAACGAAATAACTGAAGAGGAAGAAGAACTCATGTCAGTGGAAGGAATACTAGTTTTAGGTTACCTAGAAACCATTTTACATTTCTAGTGGATTTCAATTGCTGTGGTCTAGATGGAATGATTTCACTGAGCTTACACGTGTTCTTTAAACATCCAAAAAAGAACCAAAGGTCACAGTTCAGTGCTAAAGTCAAGTTGGGGGGGGGGGATGTTTTCAAACATTCCAAGAATTAAGATTTATGAAATAAGTAAGCCAGCATTCTGTTTATGGGAACTAGGATACTGGAACACTAGGGAAAAGGGTAGAGTGGGGAGAGGCTGAGGAGTGGTGTGGGCCAGTGAGACAGAGATGTGACAGGATTCCTCCAGAGGCAAGAGATGTAGGAGATACCATTTATCCCCAGTTAAAATGACTAGGGAAAAGCAAAAGACCAGCTGAACGATTCAATTACTTGAAGATTTTTAAACATCACTTTGAAATCTTTCTAATGTTAGAGGGATGGAGAAATAAGAATTCCATCATTGCTTATGAAAATCAGGACTCTGCTACACCTTTCTCCCAACTCCCTATAGCTAGGTGGCTATGGAGATTCGACTTTTGTTTCTACAATATATTACACGGTCCTCGATATTTGTTCATCTAGAACAGGGGTTCTCAACCCCTGGTAGAATCTGGAGACATTTTTGAGGGTCCTAGGTGGAGGGGCTGCTCAAAGATGCTGTGAGACAGCCTACAATACAGGAGAGTGCCTGCAGGACAAAGCCCCAAATGCTGAAGGAGCTAAGGCTAAGAAACACTGATCTCTGCTGATTACAAGCCAAAGGCTCCTTCTCAGACCTTTATTCTAGTCCTTCTCTAATAGCCGTCTAATTAAATGACATGACAGCACCAGAAGATTCATTTTTCAATTGCTTTAAACATGGTGGATGGCTGGTTCAAACTAAAAGTCACACAGAAAAACCCTGAAAAAATACATGAGGAGGAGGAGTGCAGAAACTGTAGGTGAAGAACTTTATTTTTGTTTTTATCTCAAGCCTGTTCAATTCATAAGAGGAGTATCTCTAAGATTCTTTATCAAGCTGTGGCTTTTATGCCCAATAAATATTTTCATGCTAAAAATACACTTGATTTGGTCAAAATAAAATATTTTTATTACTGTAAAAACTTAGGTAAACAGTGTTAACGGAGAAAGATTAACATTGGGGGGGGGAGAAAAGCCACTGGGGTCTTTAAAAGATATTTCACAGTTTACTTGTAAAATGACTCAGATCATTATTACTTTTAGTCATGTCAACTTTGCTGCTTCTAAACCTACTAGGAATGGAGAAGATAAAACACCATTTTGGCACCATTTTACAGTCATTAAACCAATGAAACAGAAGAATACTGAAAACGGGTTTTTGTAATATTTCTCTTTAATGATATGTTATTAAAATAAAAGCAATCGCTGGAAGGGCAAATGAAGATTCACAGAAGCCTTTCATCCACCTAAATACCTATTCGTGTGGGAGGGAAACAAGCAAACAAAAGAAACCCTAACTCAGAGAGCTAAAAATCTTCAACTGTGAATATTTTCCTAATCTACCCATCTTCGGTCAAGACTCTGGTTTTACTCTTTTCATTTTCTTCCCCTTCAAACAACTGGAAAAGACCTCCACATAGCGTTTCACAAAGAGCACAGTACTAAGAACAAATAAAAGCCTGGCGTGTACCTTGCAAATCTCATTCATCAGAAACCGTGGCCGCAGAGAGAAAACCCTGCTGTCGGCGAGACTCTCTCGCACCTTTCACGGAAGATCTCCCCACTTGAGCATCTGCCTTACCTACTACTGGAGCAAATGAGCCCCCAACTTGGATGGCTCCTATGCCCCCGCAGTAATAAAACAAAGCATTCAGCGCCCCTTATCTCCTGGCGCAAGGGTAAATATGATCAGTGCTCCTTTAACACTTACTGAGTCGCCATGGGAAGTTAACAGGAAAGACATGTCAACCCCACAAAGGTGTACTGATTTCTCCGAACGTGGCACTCCTGGCACGAGAGAACCGCAATCGCGCGCGAGGCATCACCTCGCATCGAGGGTTTCCCCGTGGGGGGTGGGTAGGTGATGCTTTTCTTTTATTTTCCCACCACTTCATCTTCCTACAGCTGAGTGAAACTTCAAAGGGCAAGGTTTCCCCGCGACCTGCAGCCTCAAAATTGTTTCTCGAGGGTCATACTAAGGGAGGCTTCGAGCACCGGGAAGCGCTTGCCCCACCGCGCGGAGTTCTCACCCGCGAGGGAGCAGGAAAGAAGGGGACCTAGGGGAGGAGGACCTGCCTCGGCTCCACGCCGTACCCGCCGAGCTGCCGCTACGAAACCCTCCCCGGACGCCACGAGACGCGCCCCTGGCCGCTTCCCCACGTTCGCTCCAGATTTCACCACCCCGAGGGCCCCGCAGCGGCCACCACGGCGTGCCGCGCCCAGCCCACCCGCACGACCCCCGGGGCCTGGGCCGGCCGCCCTCACCGAGCAGCAGCAGCTTGACCTCGCGGGCCGCCTTCTCGCCATCCTCGCGGAGGTTGCGGTCGATCATCTTACTCCGCTCCACCGCTGCCTTGTCCTCGGCGCTCAGCGTGCAGCCCATGGTGCCTCGAGCGAGAGCCTGCCGCCGCTCCCCGCACGCCCGGCTGCTGTCTCGAACACAGGCGAATTCTCTTTCGCGCTGCGGCGTTCCGATACCTCCCGACGTGGGCCACACCACCCCCACCACTTCCTAACTGGAGTCGAGGGAAACGCTGTCTGCAAGGCAGCAACCACCACCGCGTATCCCCACGGCTGGGCCCCGCTCTTGGCGCGGCTCAGCGCCCCAAACTCTGGGTTTGGATT